AACCAAAAGATAAGGCATGGTGCAATGGGGCTAAAAATGTAAAACTGCTGTTCTTCAACTTCTTTAACAAGAAACACAAACAGGTGTTAAGATGTTATCACGACTTTCGAGCTGCAAGGAGTGAACGTGCACTTTCATAATCTACTGGAGGCCTACAGTATTTGTATTATATAAGCTAGCTATTAATTTCCTATCCCAAATGTAAACAATTATGTATGAAATATTAAGGGCTGCAGGAAATTATTATGAAGAAGCTTTTCATGTTTGTGTCGGAGGTGCAAAGACAAACCTGTTGTCTAAGTATAAACTGACCGTTGTATTAAGCTGATTAATAACAGGAAATATTGGGCAGACATTAGCGCATAGAACAACCTTTTATATATTACATTTCATTTAAATTACACAAAGAGGGAAAAGACGTCTTCAACGCCAATTTGGACATGACTTTGGAGCGTGATTTGGCGCTTAGTAGCTTAATTTAGCGCTTTACGGCATTATGTGGGGGAGAGGGGAATGTGGGTTTGTGGCGGGGTGGGTGTAAATAGCCGAATAACTGTTGTGTAGCTTTTTTCACCCGGGTGCCAAGAGACACTCTGGAAAAATTGAGGTTCATGGTTAAATCCTACACCCAATGTATGCTTAGTGCAACATTTTAGATTTGCTGTAAATTGCTCTCTATTTAAGGATTGAATACATGCTCAGCTTGTGACTTTTTTGTCAGAATCTGAACCCTAGCTGAATAATGCCGCTTTGAGGAAGTTTTGAGAACATAACCAACCTCTTACTTTGACGACACGGTGTGTGTGTGTGTTGTTTATATGGTTTACTAACTAGAAGCTCAACCAGAAAAACATTGGAAACAGTTACTCTTAACATTCCATGTTTCCATAGTAACACAAATACACTGGCCAACTGTGAAGGAAAAATATGAAAGAAAAGGCACATCATTTGATTGCTAGTGTTTAACCACAGACGGTGGTGAATTATGTCCTTACAGTCCACCACAGAGTCACCATTTGTTGTTGTTTTGAGTCCTGTCCTATCTCCTGCAGCACAGTCAATGTGCTCGCCTGTCTGCATTCTGTCCTCCATGTCATTCATACTCAATAATGCATTCTGTAAGCTAAGTGACTGAGGTGCCTGGGTAGAGTGACAGGAAGAGAGCAGCAGCATTAACTGGAGCTTTGAGGTGTGCCATGTAAGGAAAAGAGAGGCTTGTGATGAAAAATGTTTTGGGCATCTTTGAAAGGTTGGATGATCTTCGCTGAAGCCTGAAGGACAAGAGGTGTAGGCAGGAGGAAATGAAACATACATATATGAGTGCTGTTTGATATACTGGCACTTCCTTCATCATGGGAGCTTATCCAAGGAGAGAGGTGTTTGGACGTTTGAATGATATCCAATGCATCCCTCTACACTCGCAATACATGCTTTTGTGATTTTTCTACAGCATAAAAGTGCACCTCATGACTTTTCTTGCTCTCTTTGTTTATTCGTGGAGAAAAAGGAACACATTTAAAATGGCTCTTAAGTCACGAGCACATGAAGTGAGTCTTGTATAATTAAGCGAGTCTATAATATCCTTCCACATGCAGTCTTGGGAAAGAATACTTGCATATATCAAAATTCTACACACACCATTCATTTTATTTAGTAATAATTGACTTACATCTGCATTGATTGTTGTCCGCCAGTTGGACTTTTGGATCTCAGTACACTTCAAGTCTGTGGTGTATAATTGTTCCTTGAAGCAAAACATATTAAAACAATAAACAGTAAAGTAAAGTTTAAAGCCTAATATGACTGCAGACTACAGACCACAAGTCAAACTCATTCCAGTGCATCAGAGTTGTACAGACTATTATCTTAGCTGCAATGCCCAAAACATTTAAAACAAAATCCCTAACTAATCAATTTATCCAGAGAACACATATTTTATAGTCAACAATTCTCTTCTAATTATTTATGCTACGTCTTTGTATAACCTATCCATTACATTTAATTATAATCTTTGAGACAGAAAACAATCAACTCAGGCAATCGGCTGTGTGAAAATGCAAAGGGTTGATGCATAAAAGCATCATCCAATCTATTGCTTTGTCTGACAGGAAACAAAAACACACAATTATAGACGACTACAAAACATCAAAAACAATTGCTTTGTGCAGATGACACTTTAAAAACACTGAAGAGATTGAACGTCCTTATGGCTGCTAATGTGGTGCTGGCCCAAAAACGATATTATATAGGGTGAAGATGAAAACGAAAATGTGTTTTTCTTCACCTAAATCATCAGGGACTTAACTTTTCATTTCACAAATTACATTGACAGAGAAAAAAAGCGCACAAAAGCCTAATCCATGTCTTTGATTCATGAAAACATACTCATTATAAAAAACCTAAATGAATGAAATCAACACCGACTATTTCTCTAACAAACTGTCTTAGTAGTGATGGTACAAAAAGTCCAGAGTGTGTGATGCTGCTGAAGTATGCAAAGTGAGGGTTATCAAAAAGTGTTGGGTTTACTTAGGAAGATGGGAGTGAGAAGATCCTTCATTAATCATTTTACAGGAACTAAATGACACCAAGCAAGGGATCTGAGGGCATGAAGAAAACAAGGCCTTTCAATTGCAAAAAGGGTCAATTGCTTTGAAAGTGCACTCTGCAGTAAAGGAATATATTATAATTTAAAATCATCCAGTCAATAGTTAAAGAAAATCTTTTGTAAGGCGGTTACTTTATGAGAGAATAAAAGCTTCAACCCAGTATCCTGAATAGAACTTCACCAAGGTGAAAAATAGCACTTGTCCCTTGCAGCAGGCAACGACCTTGGGGAATTGTAAAAGACCGACCTGGGTGTTTTTCCACTGTCATCTTCCAGAGTGAAAGGTCGCTAAGAGAGGACAAGGGCAACAAAATGTTTTCCATATCATCACTGTGAGAAAAAACTCCTCCCTCAGGAGAGATGATAGATCACTCAATCAATTACCATGGCATGAGTCCTGGCCCTGCTGAGGTGGCACACCTGGATTAAAAGACACAGCTGCATCAGTCATGATTGTAGCTGCTTAACACCGCAGGATACCACTCAATGGCTAGATTAACCCTGCCAGTTAAGAGGGGCTCTGGAGAAAGCATGTAATGGCTCTCCTCAGAGAAGCTAAATATACTGATAAGAAGCCAGATTACATCCTACGATTAAGATAAAAGCTGTGTGTGTCAGGCAACCCTTTTACCACTGCAACAAAATAACATTTTAAAGTCTTTATGCAAACATAACACTGGTCTCTTAAACTCTTAGACAGGCGGAAGATTGTATAGTGATTTATGTCAGAAAAGAAGATCTAACATTTCATCTGTAGCATGCCGATATCCAATTAAATTGATTGTGTAAGTTGTTGAGAACCCTATTATGTATTTCCATTGCTAGAGATGAGCTTTACAACAAGGTCTTTATAGCTTTTTAATGCAGCAGAACTTTAATATGTGTGGGTAAAAATAAGCTATGGTGAGCTGCATTTATACTCATTATGAACCTGTCAGTTAAATCAATTACTGTGCCATTCAAAACAATTATACAAGTTGGTGTGATTGCGTTGCACTAGCAATAAGCAAGAGCACATAACAAAGGATAAGGTGGGGAAAAAAACATATTTAAGGTGTTGTTGTAATTCTGTGTGAATTTATAGGTTTCATAAACCCAGTTATTAAAGAAAAAGGAACAACTCTTCTTCCTTTCTTTAGGTGGTGTTTTTGGAACTAGCAACTTACATTACATTATCTTCTTCCTGTTTGTCCCCCTATTAGAAAATATAATTAGTTTAGTGCCTGCAAACACAATTACTGGCTGATAGAAGGCATCCGATGTGTCACCGTATGTGTGAAAAGGTTGGGGCAGCACCATTGATTTAGTTAGGGCCTGATTAGATGTTGTTGGAAAAGTGAGTTACATTTTTCAGGAACTGTCAGTAGAACGATAGTGTAGTTGAACACAAATGTTTGTTTTCGTTTAAATGATAGAAGGACAAAAATGCTGTTAGTCAGGTTAGACAATGACACAGCTCCGTGGATTCCGCAGATGTGTGTCATTCCCATCTGTTAAACTGTCTCCAGACGGTTTACTGTTGATAACAATCACACACATGTGCTTTGCTTCCAATTTGTGAGATACGAAAGGCCTCATAAATTTCAAATGGGAGTTGATGCAGTAAAAAGCACACTTTAGACTATAAATCATGGCACCCAATCTGAAATCCACGGCCCTCTCCAGGGAGTCTGCTCTCGTAATGTGATAGCTGCTTTTCAAACTCTGGTGGATAAAATACAGCGAGAGCAGGGTCAGCAGTTACTTTACCTCGTCAGGCTCTGATATAAGGCATGTGACATTGTAAATCAGGATTTTGCTTATCTAACTCCGCACGCGAGTAGGAAATGATTGTGGCCAGAAAATGAAGCTAGAGAGAACTAGAAGGGCACTCACACAAAAAGAGCTCCAACAAGCTGAGAAACAGGAAAACAAACCAACAAACCTAAACAAAAACACAAGTGCTATTGAGAAAAATCTTTGACTTTGTGTTTTTAGTTCCTTCAATAAATAGCATTTATATTACGAAGTAGCCATTTCCAGTTTAGTCTCAGTTAGTTAGGTTTTATTACAGGTTATAAATTGGTATGCGTCTGTATTTGTACACTATTGTGCAGTGATTTGTTTTTCACTGTGCACTGGTCTGCTGGGCAGCAATAGGCAAGGGACATTTTAGTGAGCCTTAAACCCTCAAACATGCACAGTACGCCTTGTCCAATTCATCTAATCTTTGGACTAGAAGTGGACCGATAGATGGTTTAGTGTTGCCATACAAAGATTTTAAAAAATGGCTTACACTGGGAGACGAACCAAGCAAGCTAGCAGGCATTATTCAGGGGCAAACAGCATGGAAAAAAGTATACGTTTTTAAACAATTTAATCCTTTAAAAGAAAAAGAGCAGACAATCACTTCGAAAGCAAAAGTAAAATAAGTACTTGTTTATTTACTGTAATTCGATTTCAGCTCACCCACCACCCTTTCATCTGAGTCAGTCTCTTGTGGTCTCAGTGAAAACCCTGTGAAGGCACAGGTCAATACTGCTCCTTAATCCATGCATTTCATTTCAATGTAATAAGGTGTCACTGTGGTAAATGAGAGGGGCATACACTGGGCAGAGCTTTCGTTCAGCCTGCAGGGAATGTCTCATAACCCACGTTACCTTGCCTTCAGCATACATGTATTATACAGATGGCAGAGTTTAATGATGTATAGTTATGTTGCATGTCTCAGTCACGGTGATCTACTACTGTAGTTAGTAATGTTGTTATTAGACACATTGAGTCAGGTTTAATTAAATAATTACCTCAATACAGTAAGTCATTACAAACTCGGCTCTTTTATAATCTCATTTCATCCATATGGAGCAGCAGCTTTAATTGCATCCACAGGGAAGCATAAGCAGGCAAGGTGTTTCAGAGAGGAATAATCAATGTGTTGCCTTTACTGGGTGCACTTCACCTAATGATGACCCCATGTTCCACTTAAGTGTTCCTACATTTGATGTGTTATTAATTTGTATATAAAAAATGAATTGGGCATCAGAACATTTTAAGAACTTGCGTGGTATGCAGTTGTAACAAAATGCAATTTGTTTGTAGAGCAAAAGGTGGATTATTTTTTGGTTTTTTATTATAAAATACTTGAAGAACATCTATTATTAGTCTTTGTGTATCTATTCTAAAAATGATAAAACAACAATGTTAATCTACCTAAAGCCAAAAAGGAAGACAATACTCCACATGTGCCATTATTGTTTCATTCCAATTCCATTCATAATGCTTTCACCGGAACTACTTCATCAGTAGTTGTACTATTTCCAACTTTTCACACCTCTGAGCCACATTCAGAGCTGTGGATCCAGAAGAGTCCAGAAGAGTCCTGTCGGCTGAATTAAGCAGCAGAGCATTTACAATAGGTTTACAGTCATGCTGTGCAGCGAGGTGTAAAGGTGTTGCCTTTCCTGAGTTTAACGCATTGATATCTGCATGATGTGATATCAAGTGGAGGACACTTTGTAAACTGGCACTGGTACAAGCTACATGTAGTGGTGTCCATCCTTTACTGTCCTCGGACACGTTTGGGTCGGCTTTGGCTTCCAGGAGCTTTGCCACCACTTCCGGCCCACCCTGATAGCATGCAAGGTGGAGTGGGGTCCAGCCGTTCTCCCCTCCAGCGTTCACACAACCACCCTGACTCTCCAGCTGCACCACTGTGGCTTCGTGTCCCCTAAAGGCAGCCAGGTGCAGGGGAGTCCAGCCTTGGAGGGACCTGGAGTTTGGGCATGTCCCATTTGACAACAGCTGCCTGCAAATGCCTGTGTGACCCTTCAGAGCAGCCAGGTGAAGTGGAGTGTATCCTCTGCTGTCTGCACTGTCTATATTCGCCCCACTCTTCATCAACTGTCTCACTACTCTGTTGTGGCCTTCCTCAGCTGATAAGTGAAGAGCGGTGGAGAGAGAGCAGTCCGTAGCGTTGGGATCTGCTCCCTTAGAGAGGAGAAGCTTGGCAATATTAAGATGCCCATAGGCGGAGGCTAGGTGGAGCGGAGTCCTCCCTTGTGCCTCCCGTTCTCTGACTGCCTTCTCTGGCAGCCGTGAAAGCAGCAGGCGCACCACTGTCTCATGGCCATTCTGGGAGGCCAGGTGGAGGGGCATCCAACCAGCTTTTTCCCGGGCATCCGCCACAGCTCCTTTGTCCAACAGAAGACGGACAGTCTTGTCATCGCCATTCTGAGCAGCGAAATGGAGTGCTGTCCAATCATCCTCAGCCCCTTGGGTGGCAGATGCACCATGTTCCAGCAACAAAGAGATGACGTCATGAAGCCTGTAGAAAAAGTTGCATTTAAAGGGTTTCATTTTACTGACGCTTGTCATCCCTGTGAGCAGAGACTCCAGTATCTACATTATTCTAAACATCTAATTTCTCTCTGTGAAAAAGCAAATATGAGGGTTTTTTGTGTGTGACATTCCCAAAATGTTAACCTATTCCTTTAACTTTAATAGAGTTGTTTTAGGTTATCCTTAGAACTGCCAACCTGTTCAGAAAACCCAGTTGCTAGCACACATTACTTTTCATTGAGTCGCTTATAAACTGTATTTTTTAAAGTATATTTCATACAGACCTGTGCAGAACAGCAACGATGAGAGGAGTGTAACCTCTGGCAGTCGTACAGTTGACTTCAGCCCCCAGACTCAGGACATGCTCGACACTCTCTGCATCTCCGCTGGCTACGGTGTAGTGGAGGAGGCTCTTTTCACCTGAGAACTGTGTCTTCACATGCTCTCTTTTCACAGACTGGTTAAAACTACCGAAGTCCTTTTTGCACAGAAAAGAGAGAATGCTGCTCTTATGATCTGTGAAATAAAAGCAAAGAGCAATATATGAGGGGGAAAAAAGCTGCAAAAATCGTGATGGCAGTGTGTCAGAGGAACATTTTCTTTTAATGAATAAAAAAACATTGACTTTATATTGTGTACACAGCAGTGTGCTTGTGTACATCTCAATGAAGTTATATGGAATCTATGGAGTTCAGTCAATACCGTGTACATTAGCATTTATCATGTGCCTATAGATTAATAGGTAATGGAGAGTGGTAATGAACAGATCGATAGAAATTATTGTTATGGTTATCTATTCAATAATATAGTCAACATTTCATAGGAAAATGATCAAGGTTACATACATATTTGTTGTATTCTCCTTTCCATTAACAGTTGACTCATAGTATTACATGTTAGAATGAAATTGTACAGCACTGTAAATAGTACTTTTTAAATGTCAGCCCTCCAGGCTTTGTACTGCATTGAACATGAGTTGTCACCCTACTCACTAACTGACTACGTGTTTACCTGTGGGAAGGTCAGGCATCATAGGCAAATCAATCTTAAATGGGAAAAGAAAGAACATAAGCAGGACAGGTTATTTACCGTGACATCAACCATTATAAGAGGTTGATGAGCACAAACTGTACATTTATCTATTTTGGCAGAGGTGTTCAAGGCTAATAATTTATCAACAGCTATAAAATAAATAACTAAATGTATTATATACACCTTCTGTACAAAATATTTAGTATTTATGTGTATCTTTTCTTTTCCACTGTTACGCCGATGATACACAGGTCTACATTTCCAGCAAACCCAACACTGCCCTCCCCCCAACCTCTCTCACCAACTGCCTCCAGGACATCAGGAACTGGATGAGCAGGAACTTCCTAAAGCTCAACGGCAGCAAAACCGAAGCCCTGCTGGTTGGCACCAAAACCACCCTCTCCAAAACCTCATCCTCCCCTGCCTCCAACCTCATCATTGATGGCTACTCCATCCCCTTCTCTGGCCAAGTTAAGAGCCTTGGTGTCATCCTGGACAGCTCCCTCTCATTTTCACCTCACATAAATAACATCACCCGGACTGCCTTCTTCCACATACGCAACATCTCCAGACTCCGCCCATCCCTTTCTCAATCAAACACTGAAATCCTGGTCAATGCCTTTGTCACCTCCTGCATCGACTACTGTAACGCCATCCTCTCAGGCATCCCCACCAAGCTCATCAACAAACTACAAATCATACAGAACTCTGCAGCCCGGATCATCACCGGCACCAAGGCCTCAGAACACATCACCCCCATCCTCATCCAACTCCACTGGCTCCCCGTTCAATCACGCATCAACTTCAAAAACCTACTGCTCACTTACAAAGCCCTACATAACCTGGCCCCCCCCTATCTGGCTGACCTTCTTCAGGAGTACACCCCGTCTCGCTCCCTCCGCTCCTCCTCTGCTGGTCTGCTAACCGTCCCCACCCCACGCCTCGTCACCATGGGTGCTCGGGCTTTTAGCTGCACTGCTCCCAGACTCTGGAACTCCCTCCCCCCGCACATCCGACAGTCAGACACAATCACCATATACAAATCCCAATTAAAAACCCACCTGTTCAAATCTGCCTACTCACTGTAGTCCTCCCTATTATATGTTTCATTTGTGTCCACTTGACTGTCTCCTCCATGATTTCCTGTTTGTGTTTTTATCATGTTTTGTTGCCTATTAGCGTTTTATTTATTTATTTTTTAACAAATTGTACGGTGTCCTTGGGTGTCATGAAAGGCGCCTAAAAATAAAATGTATTATTATTATTATTATTATTATAACCACACGAGCCGATAAACATGCCATTCATGGTACACAAAGCCTTCTGATATAGATGATCACCTAAATTCTGCTATCATTTCATAACCCTAACATAAAAACCATCCTTATTCAACCCATACCGTGATGCTTTACTAAACCTAACCAAGTCGTTTTTTTGCCTAATAAAGAAAAATATTTTCCTATTTCTTCTTCGTTATCTATAAAGTTAACAACGTGTTTAAAGCTGCAACAGTTATACTTTTTCAACATGAAGGTAGGAGTTTGGTCCATTTTGAAGAATTTCAATGGTATTGAAATAACAGCCAGAAAATGGGATGAAAACTTTCAAATTACAAGAACAGATACAATTAAAACTAGAGGATAATCAAACGGAGATATTAAGCAGATAAAACGTTTTCTCAGGAGTTGATAGAGAACAAAAATAGTGCCTTTCATCAAATGAATGCTAATGCACTGTACTCCTGAATGTGTATTAAAAAGCAACAGTTGCAGACTAGTTAGACATTTCAAGTTCAAATATGTGTGTGTCATTAATGTGTAAATAATTATCTTGTTTCAAGTGCTTTAAAGTGATAACAAAATAAAATATTTAGAGCATCACTGTGACCAAAAACATCCTTACCATGCTGATAAAATCCACAATGTCGTGTAAACTGCGTTATCTTTTTCTCTACTTTTCCTTATGATAAGATAAACCTGCTTATTATGCCAAAGATGGATTATATACAGTAGACACTACAGTTGAATTTAAGCAGAGTATCAAGTAGTACTTACTTTGTGTATCGGGGAAAAGAGCCAAGGATAATCTGACTTCTGGCTCTTGTCGTCGTTTTGGTGGCTTTGGATTAGTCCTGGGATCTTCAGGATGTCACTCAGGGCCTCTGTCTCCCTCACAGTGTCTGCAATCAAAGCATGAGTCAAGGAAAATACAGTGATTAAATTGTCCAGTCGAAAAAATGTGTTTCTAAACGCAACTCTAAAACTCAAGGGGATCCACCACTGAGAATGAACAGTCATGCATGAATTAAATTATATTCTATAGCGTCTGTTTATGAATATTCATGACACTTATTTGTATTCATAAACACAACCCCTCAAGCCATAAGTGCTTGTCTATCAGAGGTGACCCACTTCAATGTATGCATTTCAATCACGCATTACACGCAGGAGAATGTGTTCTCTATGAGCAATTTGATTACCTATTGTTGACTTGATAATTAGATGCAATGCCAAAAGGCACGACATGGTTGCTTTGTTAATTTTTTCAGAGAATGTGGATCAAAAAACTGACAAGTGCCAGATGCTTTTGATCGCGTCAGATTAAAACACTCATGTCTCAACATGATGTATACTGTAAATGACTGTTTTTAATCATTTGGAACCTTTCCAACCTTTTGCATGTGAGAGTGTGCATGCAGTGCGTTTGATAGCGTTTTCATCTTTTATGTTGATAATCAAATTAAGAGAAAGCAAATTTGCATGATTTTACACTTCAATATGGCTTTTACGCAGCATTAAAATGCCAAAAGCAATGACACACATCATCAGAATTTGACAAATCACACATCATCTTTCTATGGATGCACCCAAGATATTGTGTGTGCTGTGATCCTTTCCAAGATGTATTTTGTAACATACAGTACTGTATGGATGGCACACTGGCGATGAACTAGTCTTAATGGGGCTTCCAGGATCCCTCTCTGTTACCGCATTTGTTCAATCTCATCTTCCATAAGAAGACGTGTTCTTTTTCATCAATGCATTAGGGAAATCAGCATTTTATGTAAAAGTGGTTCCGTAGCTTTCACAACTGAAGGGAAGTGATGCATTAACAGCTGCAGTTCCATCTTGAGCTTTAAATCCAAAGTACAAAGTTGTCTGGAAACCAATACAGAATTATATATCTATTATGTATTATTATTTGTATCTCATTTTTTGCTTTTAAGCTTCTGCACCTGAGAACTGTGGCCTCTTCCTGAGATCCTGGTCCCAGCAATGCCTCATGATGCCGATCATCTGATCACACTCAGGGGGCTTTGATTCGGGCATCAACTCCACACTGGGTCTCTTACCCTGAGACACATGTAAGAGCACTGTGGTCATACTGCACCCTGTAGATCAACACAACCATAGGACAGTATGAGGCATTGATTTGACACCTTCTGTTTGTTAAAGGCCAAGATTTAAATTGGGGTTTTTAATAACCCAAATTATCATAAGTACACTTAGTGGTGCTGTTGGATCGTTTGTGTTATCTTTAGACAGAGCCAGGTTAGCTTATTCCTCCTGATTCCATTCTTTATGCATAAATAAGCTAATACTTCCCTATCCGCTGCTTAATGTTTATTAGAAGGACATGAGAGTGGAATTGATTTCATATAACTCTTGGCAAGAAAGCCAATAAGCCATTTCCTAAAATGTCAAACTATTTATTTAAAAGGATTACTAACTGTTTTGTTCAAGTCAAAAAGAAATATATAGGATTGCTGAGGTTTAGATCATTAACACTCACATTACATTCAAATAAAGAAAAGTACATTTAAGATACAGATTCCAGTCATTGTTAATTAAACCCTGATTCATGAGTAACGGGACATTTTAAAATGTTGACTTTACATCAATGGGAAAGTATACTTACGGGGTAATGATAATGAATGAATAAATTAAACATTTTAACATTCTCAAAAGACCAAAAAACCTGAAAATAGCTTTCACCTTCATGCTGTCTAAATGGGGCGAAGCCTGCGAGCTAGTTCAGGCAGTCAACTCGAGCACTTATGCTGCATTCATACATAACGCCCCTTGCCACTCTACAACCAACCAAACAGAGTCTCCTTAATATGCCGCTCTATTTAACCTGCCAGATATCTCTCCATGCATTGCTTGCTGCTGCTATTGCTGCAGCTACTTCCACGTCGCTGCTGCTTGCCTGCCCCACCACCACCCCAGCTTCCACCCCAGCTTCCACCTGTAGGCTCGGGGGGTTAGTTATTTAATCATCACTCATCGTGCTATGTATATCTATGGAGTGATGATGCCCGAGCCTAGTCGTCAAACTCAACTTTATGCTGCTTCTAATAAACATGTTAAAGAAACACGTGAGTTGTCTGACTGAATTGATTGTATTGAGCATAACATGACACTGAAGTAACACCTAGAAATGTACATGTTTGATTCGAAGATAGGATGCATTTCAAATGAACTCATCCCTACCTGCATATGGTTTCTGCTGCGTCAGAATCTCCCACATCACTATTCCAAAGCTGTAGATCAAAGCAGAAAGAGGCACTTCAGCACTCACTCTCACATTTTTGCACATCCTGCATTCGGTGAACTTTCTGTCAGTGCCTATTTTATATAAAAATAGCTATATGAAATGCTTTTTAAAGTCAAGTAAAACCAATGAAACCTAAAAGTCTAACAAAGAGTGAATGAATCCAATGTGCAGAGTAAGTAGTGACTTTGGGTATATTGAAATGAACACAATAAAAGAGCGAGGTTACACAGAGTTAAGGGGAAAAGCAGTGACTCTGATTGTACAATTTCAGATATGCCCTTAGTAAGTCACCTGTAAACATCAAAGGACGTTCCTGGAGGATCGGGGGACTGAGTGAAGGTCTCTGGAGGAATGTAACTTATGTTCCCTCTGACTGTCAGCTGCTCCATAAACAACTTCTTGCTCATGCCTTCTTTCCAGTGGATTAAACCAAAATCGGATATCTTGGTAAAAAGAATTTGGATTTTGAGAATTTGCATTCATTGATCTGCATACTGTAAATCAGAAATTTCAAAAATGACTAAAAACAGTCTCATAAATGTGTTGTCACTGAGCGTCATTGACCTTGACATGGAGATGATCATCTAGTAGGATGTTGGATGTCTTGAGGTTTAGATGGAGTAGTGGAGGGTTCAAGCTGTGAAGGAAATTCATTCCCATCGAGACCTCGTGAATCATCTGAAACTTCTTTGGCCACATCAAAGTGTGACTGGCTAGGAGATTGTTCAGCGATCCATTACTCATGTGCTCCATCACCACAGCAGTCGCCTCACTGCACAGTCCATAGACGGAGACAATATACCTGGATTTCACTTTTGCCAGGTTGGGCGCCTCCTCTATTATTCTCCTGTAATGTAAAAATGTGAAGGTTGCTTTAGACATTAAATAGGCCTTTGAGCTAGAGGAACCATTATTTTCTTTGTCAGACTTTGTAGAGGTGCAAACATTTATTATACCTCAAGAACTTTGTAAAGTCTATTTCAATTCAAAGCAACCAACTAATCAAATATGCTAAGAAGTTGCTGTAAATGCAGACAGTTTCTTGTACCTGATGATACGTAAGTGTTTTTAATGATTGAAATCTCACCTGTAAAAGTTTGTTGCACATAAGGGTGTGTCAAAGCTCTTCAAGGCACATTTTTCCCCCTTTAGCTTCAGCTTGACCTGGTACAGCTGACCGAATCGACATTCTGCCACCTTAATCCAGTCAGCCTCAAAGTCGTCCTTCTTGAAGTTCCTGAACTGCCCGGGGGATCTGTCAAGGCAATCCATGAGCGCAGAGATCTACTCTGTCACACTGTCTGTCTAATCCTACACATAAACAGGAGTTATCCTTCAGATCAACATCGATCAGTGGCACCGCGGGAGCTTGAGTCTCATGCAGGGAACAAGAAAGTCGCAGACTATGGATACACATTGAGATTAGTGTCAGCTGGCTGTGTAAAATGCATGAGTATTCACATACACTCTAGACTGCAGTGCTGATCCGTGGGAGGAGCTGAGGCGTGGAACTTACTACAATGCTGCAAAGCCGGTTTTTGGCTACTCTACACTGAGTCAGTCTTCCAGAGAAACATGACAAACTCATTTCTGAGAAACGTGTAGTTTCTGGACCAACAAAGGATCAGTTATGGGTTGATATGACCTCATTATTATGATTACCCATTGTAATTTGGATTTGTATATACAGTACAGTAAATTATCTGCCTAATGAACCACCTACTTTTATTAAACTGCACTTTAACAAGACACTTAACCCCCAGCAGCTTTACTTGAACGGCTCACTGGTCGGCAATACTGGCAGTAGTTCTCTGAAGCACCAGTGTGTGTGTGTGTGTGTGTGTGTGTGTGTGTGTGTGTGTGTGTGTGTGTGTGTGTGTGTGTGTGTGTGTGTGTGTGTGTGTGTGTGTGTGTGTGTGCGCGCGCGCGCGCGTGTGTGTGTGTGTGTGTGTGTGTGTGTGTGTGTGTGTGTGTGTGTGTGTGTGTGTGGTGTGTGTGTGTGTGTGTGTGTGTGTGTGTGTGTATGTGTGTGTGTGTTTGTGTTAAGGTAATGCAAAATCTGTTTCTTAGCTGCACCGTTAGTTTCCTGGGGAACCATCAGAGATCCCAGGAAGCCACTGTTTCCTGGCCAAGCAGAGTTATCAGTTACGTGCCCTAAACGGCTTGGTGAGTTGCCTTAAATTCGACTGTAATACTCTGCTGGCAAAAAATTATCCGTAATAAAAGAAGCCCAGTAAAGATTTTTGGGGTTTTCCTATAGTGTGTCATTGAGGTTTGTGTGCAAATAAATTGTCTCCAAAGCTCAAAATCCCAAAATGTATTTCAGAGGGACATAGTCTCCCCCTCCTGCATGAAACCCCTCGATTGTAGTCCTTTGTTTACATGATGACATCACCACATAACACTCACGCTTGTATTGGCTAACTCTCTCACATATTATAAGTGATAGGCTAAGGGGCCGGACTTCTGTAAGGGGTTGACCAATAACAACACAGCCGGCCAGCGTCCAATCAGAGCAGTGATTGCTCTGGGTGAAAAGAGGCGCTGCATCATAGAAAGTATCAGAAAAATAAAGCAATTTTTGAAAATGTAAGTATGTAAACGTGTCAAGGTAGAGGAATAAAATAATATTATGAAACCTGAAATGAGCATTATAGTGTCTCTTCAAGGAATTTACCGTGACATTAGCCATCCCAGAGCCCTATTTCTCACATTAATCCCTTACAGTCTGGCTGTTTTTCTCTGCTCTGTTTCAGACAACAAAATACAATTAACAACATTTGAGCATATGTGTGTGTGAGGAGGTTTATTGTTTTCAAAGAAAATAAGAAGGGGATTATTTCATTTGTCTCCATGTTCGAAAGAAACTGTTTCCAATTTCCAAAAAAGATAATGTGTTCTTCCCTGGAGCTTTTCATGAATACATAACACATGTTGTAATTATTACAAAACTTATTGAAGATGAATTGTAAATGTTAATCGCTGCAAGCTTATTACTGGTGGTGTAGGGACTTTGATGTGTGTCTGCCTTTTTTAGGTCCAAATGTGTCAAGACATTTGTAATTATTTCTACATTGACTCTTCGAAATGGTGGATTTCATCTTCCTGCATCATTCAGCGGGGTGTCGTTTGATAAAAAAGATTTAAACTCCCTGGCTTATGAGAGGATTACCATAGTAGTAAGCTGATTGGCAAATATAAAGAAACAAAGATGTCCTCTCACACCTTTCCTTTTATTCCCACTTTTCTGTTTTTATTGGCTCTTATATTTTACCACCACTCAACACTCTTTATGGCTGAATTTATCTGGGGACATGAGGTGTTGCCATGTTAAAAAAAAGAAAATAACTCAGATAAGTACATTCAGGGACAAACACACACACATATTTAAATAAAGTGTTCCTTTGGGCAGTCATATACATATTTGAGCCATCTCCTTTGGGTTTCTTCATTTTTAGCAAATATCACATTTCAATTTAAAGTGGACCTATCATGCTATATTATAATAATATAGTGTAGGACCATACCTATATAAGGCATATTTATACTTTTTTTTTTTCAAAATACCAAACAGATCATGCATTTTAGCCATGCCTCATTTCGCTCAATTTGCACTATTTTACCCCTGTTTTTGCAAGGGCTGATTCTGTGAGAACAGCACCACCTACAGGCCTGGCATATGTACTACAGCGTCTCCAGCGCTTTCGAACGGCAATGGCCGTGGCTGTCTCCTCCTGATTGGTGGAGTTGGCTCAATAGCCGTAGCGCCATTGTCCTGACGTCAGGACAGTGTTCAAATCTGGATCAGTTTTTATCAGATCCGTTGCAGCCCCTTTTTTTAGAGATTTGGGTATGGAGGAAAATAGAGAGGGTTGTGTTTTCTGACACTTGGTGACAGTGGCGAGCCGTCAGGGCCCTCTAGGCCCTCTGTGAGGGCCTAAGATATTCCAAAAAATAATATTTAAAAACATTAAAAAAAAATAATATTTTTTTTAAATATATATTTTTTTAATATTATTTTTGTTATCTTTTTCATTAGTTTTACCGAAAAAAAACTTGATTTAATTGTATTTAAAATAACATTTCCAAAGAAATAAATCCTTCGAATCTGCCTGTTCATTCTCTGTTTGAATGTAGGGGTTACATGAAAGAAGCTGTCTGGCCCTCTCTGCGATTCACAGAGGGCCCGCTATAGTAACTGAACGAGAGAGTAATGTCAAATGACAGTACAATTGACCAATCATATCTTCCCTCTAAATGGGTGGGTTTTATTATCGCGGACATTATGACAAGTTCCGCCCGCTGTGAAACTTTTCTTGTTTCCATAGCAACAACAACTTCCTGTCAACAGCTTGAACTCGCCTTCAAAATAAAAGCATGCCAAATTACACTTAAGACATACAACGGCAACGAAAGTAAGAAACACAATGCAATATCATTTTCAATGTCAAAGAACACAAATTGGGTTCACAGGTGTTGTTTTGTGTGGTAGAGGGTCGCTGTCATTGATGCGTTTTGCACCCTGGGCCGTTGTTTTGATATTCCGCTGAAGTATACGCTGTGACGTAATAACTTTTTTTTTTTCTTTTTTCGAGGGTGGGGTGGGGATCAGAGGGCCTAGGTATAAAGCTCACGGCTCGCCACTGCTTGGTGAGTTCCCTGGAACACCGGGGACACATATTCATGTATAAAAGACGTACAAAAGTGCATTTTGCATGATAGGTCCCCTTTAAATATGGTCTCTCTCTGCTGAGAGCATGATGCACATCTCCACCATTATCTCAACATTCTGTGTAACTCCCACCAGGCAGTTGTCCATCTTTTATTGTTTCAGTCTTTCTCTAGTTTTTAGAAACTGTAAAAGAAAATGTCATTCATTCACTTGTAATGTATGTCTCATGAGAGAGAAGCTGCAGATCAATCTTCTCTTTTTTAGATGCTCCAAGGCGGCTTTTTGTTCAGGCTTTCAAGAGATGGTTTGTAGTTTTTATTAATTTCACTTCAATGGGATTTCCCCCATCCATGTTCCTTTTAAATCTGCTGGCTCACAGTGTAGGGCTGTCACAGGTAGAAGAAGCACATCTGTGGGATGATTTGCAGTTAAATGGCCTATGTTGTGTTGTCATCACACGGCAGACAGCCTGAATGTAAAATGCTGAAAACACATCATTTTTATAGTGATTTATATTTGATTGTTTCTACACAAAATCTGCCCTGTGTTTGTTGTTTCTATTAGGTAATACTCTTTAGATTTATTTAGTTGAAGCATCAACTCCTTGCACCACAAACTTATTGTAAACACCTAAACCCTTTAAGTCTCTCTCTCGCTCTATGTATGCAGGAGTGGTAAGAGATGAATTTAACGTTCACTGACAGCCATAGTTTCATGCTTCGCTAACTAACACTATTATTTAAGACAGACTCTTGGATTGATGTTCCAATGAAAACCAGGCGCTCGTGATCAGATTCCTGATAGGTTACCTGGGGGGAGAAGTCTGTCATCCACATCTCACAGCCAATGGCATTAGCAGGCTCCACCACGCTGTGAAGCTGACTGGCTGGAGCCACAGGCTTTTCCGTTGCCCCTCATGTCCTCTATAACTAACAGGCTTTACTCCAGTGTCTCTGATCCATATTCTGTGAGCATAGAAGGTGCTAAACCTAACCAAACAAAATTAAAGAGTGAAGGGCACTGAAGTGAATAGGCTGTCTATTCTCTATGTACTATGGTTAACGCTGGTGTATAAGCTGTGTGTTTCAGACAAGAACGTTAATTAGATCCTGTGTATCTCTCAGGAGCGTTGAATGCGTTTTAATCAAATCCTTATCTTGGGCAGATATTTCGATACTTGTAATTCCAATGAATTATAAACATGCATGGTACTTGTTGAGAGAGAGAGCAGTAACATTGTGAATCTATAGGCAGCCAAGGAACCGGATGTTTAGGATTTGCTTGTGAGAGTAACATAAACATCACTTAATATTCAACAGTATCTGTCTGGATTTCCCGAGATATACAGTATATATTCCTTCTGGAAAGGGATTACCACTTTATCATGGCAGGGCAGTTTGCGAGTCACCATGACAAGTAAAGCTGTGTCGGCTTAAGTCTTGTGTTGGGACTCCCATGCCAAAACAGGTCAAAGGCTAGAGGCTAGAGGCTGATAACTAGTACATTATTAGAGGTACCAGAAGCGAAAAACAGCTGTGTTGACATTGATTTTAAGGGGGAAAACTGCGACAAATCTCAGGTTTATACTTGTATTTTGGGTTTCTACCTTACAGTCTATGGTTTCTACTAGAACATTTTTATATGCTTTCATTTTCCAAAAATGGCAGTGTTTCCCACAGAATTTGATTCTATTTGTGGGGGCACCGCACCCCCCTGCACAGCCTTCAAAAAACTGACTGGATTGTTTTATCTCACAGTCTGTGTGGTCGGTAGGCACTCCAGA